TTCCCCTTCTTGTTGCTGACCTGGAAACAATGTTTAAAACGTCACTTCCGGGTTCTCCTGTCAGTTTCCCTGGAACCTCTGGATGTCACATTAAAGAGAATCTGCCACCATAAAAGCATCACATAGTGGACTTTTTGTCCCCTATTTGATGAAACTTTTTTTTTTAATTGTGAAGAGTTAAGTTATACCCAAGTGTATAAAATTCCCAAAGATAAAAACGTGTGAGGCCCCCTATCCACACATATATGCACGTATTCGGGCGCCTACTCATAAAAATGTTGATTGCAATGCATGTTACATATTACCACACACGCTGGAGTGAGAGCAATATTTTTAGTACCGGATCTCCTCCATAATGCTGAACTGATGACCTATAGGGGCTTTTAAAGTGTCACCTTTAGAAAAAATAGGGTACTAAAGTTTGTCACCATTTCTTAGGCGCATGCACATTTAATGTGACATGTTGGGCATCTATTTATGTTTTACAAAATAATTGAGTAATTTATTGCGCTTGTGTGTCCTATAATTAATTTTAGTGTATTTTGGTAATATTGTGTGACATAAAAAATTGGAACTACCACTATTTTATTCTTTAGGGCACGGGTGTCAAACTCTATTTCATCGTGGGCCGCATCAGCATTATGGTTGTCCACAAAAAGTCAATTGTATCTGTAAGACTAGATATCCAGAGCCCCCCACCTTTCCTTACATCACAGTGCACCCTACCCTAATTTATGCTGCTGCAGGGAAGAAGCTGGGGACAGAGCTGGGAAGCAGAGAGTGCAGGGTCTGGAGGAGGACAACAGGAGGGCTGCAGTCAGCTGTAGGAGTCTGTGTTGAATGCTGAGACAAGGGGAGGCAGAGAAGAGAGGAGGGCTGCGGCTGCATAGAGAGGCTCAGGTTATAGAAGAGGAGTTCTGTCCTCTTTGCTGCCGACTGTTGAGACAATGTGGAAAAGGTGACAAGGGGGATCCTGAAGCTGCAGGAGAGGTGTGAGGGCAACATGAAATGGTCTGGAGAGCTGGATTCGGCCTGCGGGCCTTGTGTTTGACACTTGTACTCTATGTTGTCTGCTTTCAGAAAATATGTTTTGGGGGTTTATGCAATTTTAATGATTAAAATTATTTTTTAAACGTGTGCAAAATGTGCATTTTGTTTAAGTAGAATTTCAGCCTCAAGCCAACTAGCATTACAAAATGTCCCCTTCCCCTCCTAACACCTATGCTGACTAAATTGTGTGTATATTTTGTAAAGCGCTGTGCAAACAGTTGGCACTATATAAATCCTGTATAATAATATATCAACGGTAAGAAGAAATGATTCAGCAAAACATGGTTCTATTGGACATGATTACACCTTCTCCTCTAGTTACAGCAGACAATAGCTGATCCTTGCCTGCACATACTTCCTAACTGTGGTGTACCCTTGATGCTGGACCCTGGGCCCTTTTGAAATTTTAGCCATAACCCTTTAAGGGGCTTTCTATGCACCTCTATTACTTGAATCTCGAGATTTCCCAAGCGGTTTTTTGATAGTTCCCTATTTTCCCAGCACCCCTTTTTGTTTTTTGTTTTGCTGCAACTTTGTGCCCAATCATTAATGCAGATACCTGGAATGTAACAGACATGCCCTTCACTTCTATGACAAACAGCCCCCTCCAATTTTCCGGAACCATGGGAGTTCTGCTTGTTTTTTATCTTGGTTATGCCGCCATGGCTCTAAAACCTTATAGGAATTTTTTTTTTCTTGATTATTTTACTGTCATGCTATGAGGTATATGAGCATATATACTGCCATTGTTTTGCATTCTTTTTGTATCCATAAAATCTTAAAGAATTAAAAAATAAATTACAGTATACATAGTACTTACCACTGCAATCTGATCTTGTGATCCGCTGTATCACTAGCGGTTGCTGCAGGGAAAAGAAGAGATCGCTGGACAACGACTGGAAATGATGAAATGGACCCCCATGTCCCAGCCGTTGTTGGTACACTTTCCTCTTCCCTGAAAAAGCCGCTGACTGATAGAGGGGAGCCGGATCACATGACTAGCCTGGTGCTGTCTGAAAATAGGTAAGTATATACATCTTTTTTTACACAAGTTAGTCAGCATAGGTGTTAGGAGGGGGAGGGTGCATTTTTAAAACTAGTATGGTTTAGGCTGGCTTTCTACTTTAAGACCGCTCGTTCACTGCAATAGAACTAAATATGGACCTTCGCCTTCTTTAATGCAGCACAGCATTTAAGCTGTGATGAGCTGTAGTGTGTGTCTATCAGCATCTACTGCACATGTGTACTGGGATGCCATTTTATTGAACGGGAACACACAGATTGCCATACATTACAGGAAGGCACAGGTGTAAAGCCAGCTTTTCCTGTGAATATTTATAGTATCCATAGCCAGTGTGAAAAATGTTATTTTAGTCTTGGATACTTGGGGGGGGGGGGGGGGGGGTTACAGACATGCACAGTAATTACATACCATTGCTATTAAATGGACAATTTCAGTGTCTGAATTTTTTTTTTTTTTTTTTTTTCTTCAACAAATATACATTTTGTGTGTCTTGGAGTAGTTTCTGATATTTAAAAGAGAAGATTTTGGTTTTCTACTATCTTGGCATAACAATTTTCTTGTATTATAAAAAGTGAAAGTGTAAATTCATGTAACAAATACTGTGTAACAAAGGGATAGTGCTGAAATGTACACTGCCGAGACGCAGGACATGTCTGTCATCAATATATGCTGGAATAGTTGCAGCAATTCTTTGATTTAAGAGCGACACAACATTGTGCAGAAAGGAACCCTGTACTGTGGGGATATAGAGGTTGCCATTGCTGAATTCTCCTTCTGAAATTGCTAGCTTGACTGGCTGTCATTCTGGTTCAGTAAGTTCAATATACAATTGTGATCAAAAGTTTGCATACCCTGTCAGAAATTGTGAAATGTTGGCATGGATATTGAAAATATGACTGATCATGCCCAAAAATGCTTTTATTGAAGAATTATGATTATATGAAGCCATTTATTATCAAATAGTTGTTTGGCTCCTTTGTAAATCATAACAATAACAAATCACCGAAATGGCCATGATCAAAAGTTTACATACCGTGGAATGTTTGGTCTTGGTACAGACACACAAGGTGACACACACGGGTTAAAATGCCAATTGGAGGTTAATGTCCTACATCTGTGGCTTTTTAAATTGCAATTAGTATCAGTGTATAAATAGCCAATGAGTTTGTTAGCTCTTACATAGAAGCACTGACTACGCTAGGTACTGAGCCATGGGGATCAGAAAAGAACTGTCAAAAGTCCTGTGCAGCAATTCTTCTGGCAGTTGTGGCTGCAATCTTTCTTGGTCTACCTGACCTTGGCATGGTATCAAGAGATCTCCGAACTTTCCACTTCTTAATAGGTGATTTATCAGTACTGATTGGCATATTCAAGGCTTTGGACATATTTTTATAACCTTTTCCATCTTTATAAAGTTCCATTACCTTGTTACGCAGAACTTTTGACAGCTTTTTTTCTGATCCCCATGGCTCAGTATCTAGCCTAGTCAGTGTTTGCAAGTAAGAGCTAACAAACTCATTGATTATACGCTGACACTAATTGCCAAACAACTATTTGATATAAATGGCTTCATATGATCATTATCCTTCAATAAAAGAGCATTTTTTGGCATGATCAGTCCTATTTTCAATATGAATGCCAAAATTTCACAATTTCTGCCAGGGTATGCAATCTTTTGAGCACAACTGTAGTTGTAGCCACTGATCCAGGAAAGATGCCTATACATACCTATTCTAGCTACTCCCATCTGGTCACATGATTAGGTCCCAGCGTCTGCTTCAATGTAGAAGATGGACAGCCAACAACGGATGTCTCATAGTAAACCTATGGGTGATGTCATTGCCCAGGCTCTGTAGCTACTGTTGTTGCCTCTCCCCTTCCCTACAGCTGGCAATAGGACCTGATCATGGGCTGGGACCAGCGTGGCTTCAGAACAGGTAAGTATAGACATCTTTTTTATTACAGGGTAGATAGACTAATCTTAGAATGGGGTTGGGAGTAGGTTTAGCTTTAGTTAGATTTTGACTAGAATTACACTTTAAAAATAGAGGCAGCCTGGCTAATAGCCTTTTTTGAAAAGAGATATCAGTAATTACAGCCCTGTATTTCTCTAGCTGTCCACGAGTAGCATTGTTTTCCCCATTATTGGCATGGATCCATTAACTAATAATCTGCACAGGAAATAACAGTTACCAATTTTCCTTTTCTAGCAGTCTTGTTAAATGTTATGGCAGCAACCTCTAACAATCTCCTATGATGACACAAATTTACTTGTAGTGGATTTTCATGACTGCTAGGGAACAAACATTTTCATTCTTTCTCAGCATAGGTTTCCTTTAAACAGGAAGGATGGATTTTTAAAGGAATAGGCTACAGGGCTGTCATCCTGATCCTGGTTTAACAACCTAGAAAGTCATTGATGTGGAAAACGTATGCAAGATTGAAGCTAGAACTTTACGGTAAGTTAGAAATGCCCATTCAGTAACAATGAGCACTGTTGCTGTTATTCCCTTCTAAAGGTGCTGATTTGTACCCCAACAAAGTAGGTGCCCTCAGATGGGGGTAGAATCAGGCTATATATGGGCAGCCTTCTCACAATAAAGCTGTTAAAATTCAACACTGATCTGAATGTACTTTAGCTCGACAGTCCCAAAATTGGCATAAATGTAAGTGCTTTCACCTCCCTTTCCCAAATACGCATGTGATAGAACAAGTGCTTACAAATTCCATCAACAACATAGGTCATGCAAGAAATTCTGTTACTTCTGGTTATATGAGTGTTTAGCTGATGAATTTTTATAAGAAATGGTCCCCTTTAAATGCACAGCTGCCTTTCCTAATGCAACATATGCTGGTTCTGTATGTACGCCTATTGTGTGACTAAATAAAGTGCAGCAAGTAAATACTGTTTACAGGTAATGCCACCTCACATTACGGTGCAGAACTTGGACTGTCCAGTGTCTCTAGAGATGCTGTCCTTGTCACGGACTAAGATGGACTGGTTCCCATACTGTGAGTACCACATACTCTGACTCCGGCTCAGATAAGTCCCAGGTGGCGCCGTCTCCAGCTTCTGCTGTTGTTGCTGCCAGATGAGGAGGGAAGTGTCTCTGTACCGCAGTCTGGCGTAACCTTCTGACATGGCTTTTTCAGCCAATGGTACCCGTCCACTGCTCATCACTCTGCTGTAATGTGTTCTGTAGTGTCAGATCAGTCCTAGAGGCAGGTTCTTCATGAATCCTCTTCGTGCCCTTTAAATAGAGGGTTGCCAGGACAAAGCATATACAAGGAAGTCAGGGGTCATTGTTATCATCACCCTAAACCTGAAGAGGTGGGAAATGGAGGAGCCCATCACCAGACCTGACTGCAGCATTTCTTTATGAAGTAATATATCTCTGTGTCCAGTCTTGTCAGAGATCTCAGGCTATCTGCAATGAAACATAATACAACGCTTACAAACATTACTGCATACACATAAACTGTAAGATGAAAACAAAAAAAACTATACTGTATAGCTCCACCATCCAGAATATGATGCACAAATCAAGCCCCCCAACTAGAAAAAGATATAAAGCTGGAGTTTAGGTGTGGACCTGTGGGATCCTGCTGGAAGCGACTGTAGTAGATATAGCGGCTACAGTGATCTCCACTAACTTCCAGGTCCCATGCTGAGAAGCAGGGCAGTGATGTCAGGATCTCCACCTCATCAAATCAGAAAATGCTTTGCATTCATTGAGAAAATGCAAAGTCTTCTCTGGTGCCCATGCCAAGCGAGTGACCTGTGTTCAAAAGGCAGCCGCTCAGCACAGGATCCGGAAGCTAATAATCACTGTAGCAGTGCCTACTACAAACATTTCCAGCTGCCAGGGGGAAAAAAACAGTAAAAATTGCCATACCTAAACTTCAGCTTTAACTAGTTGTTGACTGCAGCTAGCAGATTGACGACTGCACTGCGGCCGGCCAGTTCTGGGTGGAAGTCATATGACGTGCTCCTAAAACGCACTCTCCTGTGCGCCCCTGGCGATCTGTGTGATCGCTGTGTCCTACGGACACAGCTGATCATGTGATGTGGTAAAAGGCCAATCACAGCAGCCTTTTACCACATGATCAGCTGTGTCCAATCACACGCTGATCACCGGAAAATGCACTTTTCGGTTCTCGGCTGCACTTTCCTCACGCTGTCAGAGCGTGAGGAAAGTGCTGCAGAGAACCGGTAGCTGTCAGAGCAGCGATCGGCAACGATCATCAGGGCACTGATGATCGGTGCCCAGCAGTGCCACCCACCAGTTCCGCTCACCTGTGCCCAGCAGTGCCACTCACCTATGCAGCCCAGCAGTTGCGCCAGTCAGTGCCGACTATCCGTACCCATCATAAGTGCCAGCTCATCAGTGCCACCTATCAGTGCTGCCTATCCGTGCCACCTCATTAGTGGTGCCAATCCGTGCTGCCTATCAGTGGCCACCAGTGCTGCCTCATCAATGCACATCAGTGGAGAAAAATTACCTGTTTGCAAAATTTTATAATAGAAACAAAGAAATGTTTTGTTTTTTTTCAAAATTTTTGCTCTTTTTTTTGCTTATAGTGCAAAAATTAAAACATCCAGCAGCTATTAAATACCACCAAAAGAAAGCTCTACTTGTGAGAAAAAAATGATAAAAATTTCAAATGGGTATAATGTTGCATGACCGCACCATTGTCATTCAAAGTGCAACAGCGCTGAAAGCTGAAAATTGGCCTGGTAAGGAAGGGGGTATAAGTGCCAATAGGCAAGGGGTTAACGGATAAGTTCACCTTTTGTAACTGTTGCAGCAGCCCCTGCACCCCCTACCAATCCCCCATTGTAACAGTGGGCTGGGGATCCTCTCCCAGCACCCACTGTCACAATTTAAAAAAAAAAAAAGCGGCCATGCATGGCTCCACCCACCTGGCTCATTCACGGAGTTCTGTGACTGGGAGAACTACCAGTACCGACAGCCTTTGTAGCTGATGGCTTGTAGCTCTCAATGAACTACCAGGGGGCTGTTGAGTGCTCTAGGTAGTTCATTGATTCCTCCAGTCATTGTCTGACCCTACCATAAAAGGTAGAAGCAGACAGATACACTGACAGTCTGCAGGAACCTGAGATTGCACCCACAATCTGCTGATTGCTAGTGCAATGCTTTGCAGGTTCTTAGGAAAAAATATAATAAATGCACATTTTTTACATCCAAAAGATGCACAACATCTATTATATTTTTTTACAGAGGTGAACTTATTTAAAAGGGACCTAAAAATTCAAAGTAAGAATATTTTTTTTTTTAGCAGAATACTATTCAGGTATAAGGAGACTACAAATCCCAGCAACACATAAAGTAATGAAGAATAACTCCCACCTATAGAGGGACTACATATCCCAGCAATGCACTGTACAGAATATTACCCAGCTACAGGGGGACTACAAATCCCAGGAAATGTTATATAGCAATGCAGAATGGCCCCCCAGCTGTAGATGGACTACATATCCCAGCAATACATTATACAGTAAAGTAGAATGGCTCCCAGCTATAGGACTACATATTACAGCAATGCACTGTACAGAATATTACCCAGCTATAGGGGGACTACAACTAGCAGCAGTACCACTCCCGGTTGTGAGCCCCAGTAATAGCGATGATGGTGGGAAAACACAGGCAGGTCCCCTCCTGGCCCCTCTCGGAATACATGGATTGATCTGAGGCCTCCTCCTTCAACCCGGTGCCCCCTTTAGTCCCTTCAGCCCCCTGGTTACCCCTTCAGTCGCCTCCCTGCTGTCCTCTGCAGTAGCTTAGCTGCCAATCACCAGCTGCTGCCATGGTAACGCTGAACCCCGGGCCGGTGCTCTCACTAATCTGTCCCCGGAAACAATGACAGAACACAAGTGTTCCGGCGCTGGGCGGCTCATGTACTGTGTATGTATCCATAGGCTGAGGCACCAATGACACTGAGAAGCTGTCTGGCAGTAGAGAGGAGTCTAATGACTGACGAACAATCGTAGAAGGGCTCTATCTCCAGGGTCCATGGCTGGCACAGTGTACATGAAGTGCCTGGACGTCAGTGCTTCAAATGCTTACAACGTCCTTAGAAAAGCAGAACAGAGTTAGCAACTGAAAACCTATGAAAAGTATTGGGAGAGGGCAGTAAAGCTGTGGCTTAACCACTTGGTTTTTTACTTCCTTGATTTCTGTGACACGTGACTATACCCTGTGAGTAGGCACTGCTGTGTCACCCATTTCACAGAGCCTGCCTTCAGAACTACAGAGGTGCTGAGAGGAGGAGTTTCAGGATGTGGAGTTAGCACAGGAATCGCTGCTTGCAGGCAGCAAGGTACCATGGGACACATAGTCCTTAGAAATTGAAAGTACAGAACACAGGAGAAGCTGCAGAGCATGCAGGGAATCCAGGAATAGATGGCCAGCAGACAGGCAGAACTCTCAACATGAAAGGTGATTTTTCAAGTGAGTTTATATTGGATTGTCAAATATAACTATTGTTATTACAATACTGGTGTTATCACATGAATAAGAATGCTGTAAGCATAAATTTCCTATAAAGCTGGCCATACACTGCTAGTTTTTTTCATTTAGCCTAGCCAAGCGGCTGAACAGATTCCTACATCCACACAAAAAAGGCTGAAGGAGGCATCTCCTCGCCTGCATACTGTATTCTGACAGCGGAATCAGCCGCTTATCAACAGAAGATTTCCAGCTTGTCCCATTGGCAGAAGTCAATTGTTTGATTGAACTCTGTCAATCAGGAACGGTCACACACATTGAAATTCATACAGTCCCTGCTAAACTGGTCAAATTGTGATCAGTATATGGCTAGTTTAACTGCTTCCCCGCCGCTCTATAACAGATACACTGGTACAGGGCTGCAGGGTTGCGCAAAATCATGTGTATATATACGCGATTTTGCATTTCCAGGTATGGGGCGCGCGCGGAGAGCCACACTGCCATTCACGGGTGTCAATCACCGGGTCCCGGCCAGTAATTACCCACTGGTGCCCGGTGATTACCGAGCATCTCCGATGGGGAGGAAGACTGTTTTGTTTTACGAACAGTCTTCCTTCCTGTCTTCTCGGGCACACTGCACAGCCATCCACAGCAGTGTGCTGTGGAAGAAAAAGGTGCAAAAGCAGCAGGGATGACCGCAGCCTGGAGAGGATTGTCAGGAAAAGGCCATTCAAAAGTGTTGGGGACTTTCACAAGGAGTGGACTGAGGCTGGAGTCAGTGCATCAAGAGCCACCCCACACAAACGGATCCTGGACATGGGCTTCAAATGTCATATTCCTCTTGTCAAGCCGCTCCTGAACAACAAACGTCAGAAGCGTCTTACCTGGGCTAAAGAAAAACAGACCTGGTCTGTTGCTCAGTGGTCCAAAGTCCTCTTTTCTGATGAGAGCAACTTTTACATCTCATTTGGAAACCAAGGACCCAGAATATGGAGGAAGAATGGAGAGGCACACACTGCAAGATGCTTGAAGTCCAGTGTGAAGTTTCCACAGTCTGTGTTGATTAGGGGAGCCATGTCATCTGCTGGTGTTGGTCCACTGTGCTTCATTATTCCAGGGTCAACGCAGCCGTCTACCAGGAGATTTTGGAGCACTTCATGCTTCCTTCCGCAGACGAGCTTTATGGGGATGCTGACTTCATTTTCCAGCAGGACTTGGCACCTGCCCACACTGCCAAAAGCACCAAACCTGGTTCAATGACCGTGGGATTACTGTGCTTGAGTGGCCAGCAAACTCGCTTGACGTGAACCCCATAGAGAATCTATGGGGCATTGCCAAGAGAAAGATGAGAGACATGAGACCGAACAATGCAGAAGAGCTGAAAGCCGCTATTGAAGCATCCTGGTCTTCCATAACACCTCAGCAGTGCCACAGGCTGATAGCTTCCATGCCACGCCGCACTGAGGCAGTAATTGCTGCAAAAGGGGCCCAAAGCAAGTACTGAGTATATATGCATGATTTACTTTTCAGAGGTTCGATATTGTTCTATGTACAATCCTTGTTTTATTGATTGCATGTAATATTCTAATTTTCTGAGATTGTGGATTTGGGGTTTTCATGAGCTGTAAGCCATAATCATCACAATTATGACAAATCACGGCTTGAACTATCT